GCACGATGACGTCATTTTACTTTAACTATCAGAATGCTTCAGTTTGTTGTTTTCTTGTGCAGACTGAGGAAATTGTTTTTTAAACCTCAGCGGGATTGACAAATTAAAATAAGAAATCAAAATCGAAATGAATTCTGCTAGTTGTAGTCAATTGTCGTAATCGTAAAATTGGCCTATTGTGGACCAGTAATACTGCTCTCGTCTAGTGTCAAAGTAAAGTGAAGTTTCTTTTTTATTGTGTAATTTGGTCTCCGCACTCCGACAATTAATGTTAAGTAATATACATTGCTTCATGAACTCAACCCTTACCCAAGAGTTTTAACTTACAATATTGATAATATCATTTCAATTTCTGGTGATGTGTCAATTGTTCTTTGCACCCCGGCGATTAATGTTAAAATATGTACATTACTTCATAAATTGCTCAATGAAAGAAACACGAACTTTACAAAGCTTACTTGTGCTAACACGAAAGACAAACCGCATAAGTGCAAGCATTGTTATAAGTATTTTGTTCCTCTAAAAAATTAAAAGATACACCAGCGAGTTCACACGACAGAAATCCCTTATCCGTGTAAACTTTGCAATACCGGTGAGCGCTTCCGACTGGATGAAGCATGAAAGAAAACACACAGGAATTAAACTTTTGAATACAACCATTGCGGAAGGGGCTTTAGTGATCCTTTCGCTAGAAAGGGACACGAACGAAACTACGCGGGAGAGATAAGCCTCATAAATGCGAGTACTGCGATGAGTTTTATGCTCCCAGATGAAATTGTTTGATATCTTCTTTTCTGCATGGGTAAAGACACTAAGAAAAGACTTCAGCACAGAATTTACCTAAAACAGCAATATCAATAACAGGAGCAGGAGCCCTGAGGATAATAAATCATATTACTGAGCCCCTTATTTCCTTGGCAGCATAAATATGGCTAGTCACACGTACATGCGATCTGAAGCAAACGACTGAGACGCACAAAATACAGAGCTTATCGAACCACCTGACAAAAAAAGATTCTTTCAAATAGACTTTTTTGAGAATGTCTAGAAAGACATTGCTCCAGTCTCAAAAATGTCCAAGATTTTACGTATAGTTTTCAATGGTTTCCACCACCATCTAAGCCGGTTGTTCAAACGTTGGGTACTGTTATCTAATAGATAATTCACTATCGATAGATAAGTATCAGAAAACAATGATAAATGATGTTATTTCGTAAGTAGGTTGAGTATGATCGTCCGGGTGAATGTAGTCCTGAATAGGACTGTTGTTGTTGACAGTGACTGATGTTTCGACAACCTGTGCAGTGGTTATCTTCTTTGACTCTGAAGGTGACTACCGCACAGGCTGTCGAAACGTCAGTCACTGTCAACAACAACAGTCCTATTCAGGACTATGTTCACCCGGACGATCATACTCAACCTACTTATGAAATGACTCCTCGGTTCAAACCTTTCAAAATGTTATTTCGTATTATTTTATGAACTTTCAAATGAGACAATTGATTCTAATTCAAGACTGCTGTGTCCCAATTGTGGATGAAAGATGTATTTGAGTATCAGTTTGCTACCTCAAAGGAAACTACGACATTATTGACTTACTTCCATTGATCTTAGATTAGCAGGTGAATGAAGATTACAATACTGGTATTGATTCCGTTCATAGTACTGATTCTTTCTATTCATTGTTTTCGTTAAACAAGATGAACTTACATAATGCAGCAGCAGAGTTTACAACAGTCATCCACATCCTATCAAACAGGTGTTTTTTCAAGTCTTTACTTGTAATACTTTGTATACATGGTCACTACATTCACAAGTATTAAGGAACCATCTACTGTTAACATAAATCAGATAAATCAATTAGCTGTCTATACCCACTTACATGTACGCGGCGATGATATTTACAGGGTCGCACAGACCCTTTTATTGCTTTTAAAGAGTATTTACAGGATCAAAATCAGTCCCTCACCCTCTTTTTCAGGCTTAGTTGTTTAATTTAAAATTTTTCCCTATCATTGCTCCCCGATTTCTATATACATATTATTTACATGGTCAAGGAAGTCTCTCTAGTATTCTGGTAATGTGAATGCTATTCACATATATAGGTTGTATATAAGGCGTATATAGGTTCTATATAAGGTGTATATGGGTGTATATAGGTTGTATATTGCTTTATATAAGTTGTGTATAAGCTATATATAGGTGTATATATAATATAATCAATGTAAGGTGTGTATTGGTGTATATAGGTTGTATATAAGGTTGTAAATAAGGTGCATATAGGTGAATATAGGTTGTATATAACGTGTATATTTAACAATTATTCGCCGAAGGCGAAGATAGTATTGTTGAATAATCCCCGAGACGAAGTCGAGGGCATTATTCAACAATATTAACTGAGCCTGAGGTGAATTATTGTTTTAGTATATGCCCACGAAGTGATCTCAGAAGAATCAGAAAGGAAACCATGAAAAAAACGATTAGTTTGATTCACGGGTGAATTCATGCGTGAACATGTAGCGTAAACAGCAGATGCATAACAACAGTATTTTCAAACATGGCAAATCATGGTTTTAATTGTTTTGTAAACTTTAGCGCCAGTGATTGAAAAGGAAACGTTGAAAGTTTAAATAACTCCCCTTTCTAAGAAGAAACACAGATCTTTATTTGCTTCTGTCAACTCACCGTGAATGAGACAGTTTTTTGTCGCTTCTTGCAAATGCTGTCAACAGCGGCTACGATCGAGGTGAGCGTTTTTTATCTGCAGTGCATTGTTCCTTGCCATGTTGACTTGCTGGCACGTACAGTTTTCGAAAATATTTGCTTTCCTTTTTTTCTCCCTAAATTAACTTCTATTTCCAGGCAAAATTGGTCTTGCGAGGAAATCCCGAGTTCATAAAACAGTGACAAAGCGGCCTCCTTTTCCTCTGTAGTGGCCAATAAAAACATTGCTTCGAGCGTATGAAAGTCAACTACAGTAAATCACTTCGCAATAAAATCACGCTGTTTACACACCATGAAGTCTTCTCTTACCTTCAAAATCATCAACTCTGGTATATTCTTGTATTTCAAAAAAGCTCTCACTCTGAAACCTGCAAAACACCCAGTTCACGACAGCGATTTTGTTTTGCTTTATGTTCACCGCCTAGCGCGGTGAATATAACGTCATAGTCCGAGGTGGCGAGCCAATCAGATTGCTTGAATCACCAAGATCACTGGGTGTGTATATACTAAAGGTGAATATAGGTTGTAGATAAGGTCTATATAGATGTATATAGGTTATATGCAACGTGCATGTAGGTGTATATAATTGTATATATGTGTATATAAGGTGTATATAGGTGAATATAGGTTACATATAAGGTGTATATTGGTGAATATAGGTAGTATATAAGGTATATTTAGGTTGTAAATAAAGTGTATATAGGTGTATAAAGGTTACATATAAGGTGTATATAGCTGAATATATAAGGTGTATATAGGTTTATATAGGTTCTACAGTGTGTATATACGGTGGATATAGGTTGTATAGATGGTGTATATTTAACAATTATTCCTCGAGGCCTTCGGCCTCATGGGCTATTGACTCAGAGCAAGGGCCAAGTGCGCAACCAAATAAGGTTGGGGTCATCTTCGATTATCCGGCGATTTATAAGTTTAACTTAAGTAAATCCCTGTCAGTTGAACCTGTTCTTACAGATGGGCCTCATTATTTCTTCTACCTTTTCTTTCTATGATTTCCTCAGCTTCCACCATCCACAGCAATAAATCCAGGTTTTGCCAAGAGCCCAATAATGTCAAACTTAAATCCCTCAACTGCTCCAGATTTTTCAGTTGCTGTGTCTCATACTTGTAATTACTTTTCTAGCCCTTGCAGTGGCAGTTAGTGAAATGGTTGAATTCTTCGTTACTTATCCATTAGAAACGGTTTTTTGAGTAGTTTTCAGACAGTGCTGTCGGTAAAATATAAACTAAAAGCGCTGCTTTTTCGAGTTTTGATCTATGGAGCGTTGCGAGAGTTCATTTGACATGACAGCCTTTCAAGCCCTGGTCCAATCACAGTTTCAATAAAGAAATATACCAATCAATGTACTTGTTTGCGTCATTCGCACGCGCGCTCACCTTTTTGTTTTTCTTTCTCTCCCAACATGTTAGAGATGAAAACATTAATCAGAAAATTATAAAATAAATAAACTTCTTTCTGGCTTGCTGGAATATCGGAGGATAATGCCCTTGGCTGAGAGATTGTCCTCCAAATTTCGCATTTACCCTCGAAGCTTGGCTTCTCGGGCAAATGTTTATTTTTCGGACAATCTCTCAACCGCGGGCATTATCCTCCGATATACCAGCCGCCGGTAGTAGTCGTGCTAGTGCTAATTCTAGTGGTAGATGGTAGTGGTAGTGTTATAGTAGAAGCAGTAGTGGTAGTGGAAGTGGAAGTAGTCGCAGTAGTAATAGCAACAGTAGCAGCAGCACTAGCAGAAGCAGTAATCCCCATGGTTATTTCCTGCATTCCGTGCATAAGTCTCGGAGATTAAAAGCAAAATACTACTTGCCGCTAGGGAAAAAATAGATCCAATGCTGGCTGTATCTGCTTATGTCTGAGCCAAAAGGTTAAAAAAACGGCGGGTGCATTCCTGTTTGTTACCAGCCAGTTACTAGTCGTTCATTACAAGAGCCAGTAGTCATGTTATAAAATAATGAGTTCATGCTTTAAGTTGTTTGTGTATCGAGTTATAATCAACTTTCAAAGCTTAGAGAGAACTAATTAGCTGGAGACAAGCTCTCTCTGCTGCGGCTAGAGCAACTTTTGGGCAACTCTTGCGCACTCTAAACTTCCCATGTGCAAACTTTCCCCCTAAACTGTAGCCCAGTATACACACAATAAGCATGATCGTTTCATGTGTGATGGTGAAGTACAGTGTCTGCTTTCGCTTTTCTTTTCTATTCCAGTCCATAGCTTGGAAAATACAAATTATTTAAATAAAAAGCAATTAAGCTCAACTGTCATTAATATCGTCTACTTTCATTGCAGGTGATTCTGGTCTGGCAAGTCCAACTCTGGCAACTCTCCGAGGTTTCAGGGCAACAACACCGTTGTCTTCCGAGAACCGTTTGATACATTCAGAAAACAAAAGCTTCTTGTAGCGCCTGCGGTAATTAGCGTTGCTTATTCCATAAATAAATGGATTAGCGCAAATCGTGGTGAAGAGGAGAAACGCTGTGAAATGGTGGAGTGGAGTATGTATTTGTGCTTTTCCCGTAACCACAAAGAAATAAAAAACTTGGTTAGGGAGGAAAGTTATGAGTAAATTACAAGCCATTATACCGACCATTCTTGTCATCTTTCCTCGAAGTTTGGCCTTGCTCGCCGCTGACGCAACTGGGGAGTTGTTTGTCGTCACGATCATATGTACGTACAGTCCAATCATGGAAAGGCAAGGAAGGAACATCCTGAAGAAAATATTGAATATAAGTTGGAACGTGCGGGAGAAAGAGCCTGAAAAAACAAATCTCAATACGCAGATGTCATTGGATGGTGAATTATTTGGTTCAAAGTTAGCATCAAATAACACCATCCCATTGAGAATGAATGACCAGATCCAACAGATCACGATGTATCCAGCAAGTCTCTTTCCCCTGAAGGCCACGTGATATTTAGAAGGCTTTACAACGGCAACCCACCGCTCTATTGCTAACAGCAATGTGATGTAAACGGAGAAAAACACGAGCTGAAAGAGAAAAACTCGGCTCCAGAAAACTCGGCAGAAGATTTCTCCCAGAACTTTATTGGTTGGACGAGGATAAAGGTCACCAAGGCCAAAGCCGGGACTTGTGAGCAGGAGAATGGAGGTAAGCATATCTGCTATGGCAAGGCAAAGAATGAAAACGTTGTAGGAGGTTTTCAGCAGCTGTCTGTCAAGGACAAACACTAGAATGGTCAGCGTGTTTCCAAGGATTCCAAAGATGGAAAGAATGCAGTTGGTAATCTGGGATTTGGTAAGTCCGCCTTCCATTGTTTACTTTGATCAGTGGAGAGTCTGTAACGTTATTTTGTCTAATGAACAGTTGATATGAGAAATGTTACTGTAAGTCCTTGTAGTGGTTTTAAGCCAAGTTAGCTGAGAAAATAGCCAGCATATTGCGACGCCGTCACTGTTTTCCCCTTGAAATGACGTCTGAGGAACAAGCGCGGAAATTTCATACTGACGATAGTAACTACCCGGATCTTGGCAGTTCTTCTAATTGGTTCAAGCAAATATTTCTTGCGGCACGACCAATCAGAAGTGTTAATTAGATCCGGGTAGACTGTTACACGTCATGAGTATGGAACTTTTGTTCTCGTTCCTCAGACTTCTCTTATTGGTGGGAAACCAGTGGTGGCGTCGCAAACTGTTGGCTGTTTTTTGCTGAGGGTTAGTCAGCATGTCAGTGGTTGTAGATATTTATAATCTAACAGCCTGACGAAACTAGCATGTTAAAACAGCTAAAGTAATTCATATTCTGTCTGTTAAAAGGATTTTCAACGGCAGGTCCAGATGTCGCAAAAATCTTCATTTACTGATTTCAATTGTTTTCGTTTATTTTTGTCATGGTAATATAAATTTTACTTGAAACTACATTTCGACAAACTTAAATCCAAGTTCAGTAAGTGGTGAAAATGTTTTGGCCATCGGCCAAGGATAAAATCCCTCATGAGGCAATTGAACATTACGAAATCCCGCCTATTGAAATTTCCTAAT